ATGCGAATGCTATTATTCGCAACAACCCTGATATGTACATATGTATAGCTGCGTTGACAACGTGCTATTTTTACTTTAAAAATATTTACATAAATCTGTATGTATTGACACACGCCACATCAAAATGATAGGAACCATTTTTTTCCGACAGCGCTTGCTACTCAAAAACGAATTGCAACAATCTTTCGAGTGGTGTCATGTTTTCATTTTAAGTACTTACGCATAATGAAATATATTCATACGCTAGCCATCAAAGTTTTCTTGTACGCATTTTTCACGAAATACCCTAGGGAATATACTCGGATTTTTTAGTCGGCATGCAGTGTAGAATCCCATTTTTATACCCGAGCGCACTTGTGCACAAGGGTATATTAATTTTGTTCACATAACGGTTGTTTGTAACAGCCAAAACGAATCGAGATAGATATAGACAAATGTATACATAAATGATCAGGATGAAAAAAGAAATCGATTAAGCCATGTCTGTCTGTCCGTCCGTCTGTCCGTCCGTCCGTGTACACGATAACTCGAGCAAAAATTGAGATATCTCAACGAAATTTGGTATCTAGGTTTCCCTTAATCCAAGGTAGGTTGGTATTGAAAATGGGCGAAATCGGACTTTAACCACGCCCACTTCCCATATAACGGTAATTTCCAGAAATACGAAAACTGCGATATTTTAGTAACTACTGAAGATAATTCACTCAAAATTGATATTTACAATAAGTTTTAGACGAAAAACAAGAATATTATAAATTTTTGGAAAATGGGCGTAGCCACGCCCACTTATGGTTACATGTGTATATCTTGGTAACCGCTGCACCAATTTCTTCCAAACTTCGCACAGTTGTTGGCCTTGGTACAACATAAAAACTCGCCGAAACTTTTAAAAGTCGGACAATAACCACGCCCACATCCCATATAACGGTAATTTAGAGAAATACAAAATCTTCGATAAATCAGTAAATATTGAAGCTAATTTATTCAAAATTGATGCTTGCAACAATTCTTTACCAAGAAATACGTTTATGGTAAAATTTTGGAAAATGGGCGTGGCACCGCCCACTTATGATCACATATATGTATATCGGTAACCATGTATATCGGTAACCATTGTACCAAACTCGGTGTGGTTATTGTGCTTGCCACATATAAGCAAAACGTTGAAAATTATTGAAATCGGACTAAAATAACGGCCGCTTCTCATATAACGGTAAATTTCAGAAATGCTTGAAACTTCAATATTTCGAAATTGAAACACCCCGGCTTACCATCTAGCGGAAGGTTTCGGAAAGGTGAAAAAACATATATTTAATACTTGCGCCGGGTATTTAATGTTCGGCTCCGCCCGAACTTAGACTTTCTTACTTGTTTTATCTGGACTAAACGTTACATATGTAATTTTATTGTATGTAAGCCATTTTTTTTTGCGTTAGTAACATACTTTTTTTCTTTTAATTACACTGAATTAGCTAAAACAACCCAAAAAAACGCCGAAACACATTGTCTATGACTAGGAACGATTGTTACTCATACGCCATGTACAAACTATGTAGTATGCGTTAATGTTATCATATGTACTATATTTCTGTGGAAATTATTAATCATTTTCATTTGACCATTTACAACTTTATTTATCAATCGATTTCAATTTTCTTTGTTGATAGCTTGATGTTTTTGTAAAATAATAGACTAATCAAAAGAATTTACAAAAAACCTTAAACTTTCAAGCAATATATGTATAGGTAGATAATTTTAGAGCAAATGTCCGCCTATAAAGAAGTTAATATGTGCCTTTGATCATTTTATACATGCATATGTAAATGAGAGCGATTTTTTGGAGAGTTGTGTAGAGAATGAAGTTGCAAGATTTTACCAGAATTTTTCTTCTGGTAAAATCATGAAAATACTCAAGCGATAAGCTGTTTCACGTTTTTACAGAAAAAATGCTTTTTTTGTTCCCGAAATTTTTGATTGTTACTTTTTACTCTCACTGCAGTGAGTAAGTTTGCTGTTTGACATTTTTACAGAATTTTACACGAAAAGTATTGGGTCATATGTGGGTAATGTGTTCTTGAACTTTACAATGTCTCAGTACCACGCTCCATTAAACTCATAGAATTTTAATTTTAGCCTTGTTCTTGCTTCCGTGTTAACGAAAACAAAATACTGTGCGGCACAAAACTATGTGGTTTTTCATCTTTGCCACGCGCTACCCGTGAAAATTTTAGCTTATGTACATACATACATACATATGTACATATATATAACTATGTGTAGTTTTAAGGTCATGGAAGCGTTTTATGTTTGATGAGTGTGTTGCCAATTTATTTTTAGACATTGATAAAAAAACAAAATCACAAAATCTTTTACGCAGACAGTTAAATATAAAATTATTAAATAACCACACATACTTTGGCAATCAAAAGTGAGTGCAGGGTGTTTTTTGTTTAATATTTGCAATGTTTTTCAAAATTTTTATGTTATTTTTTTTTATAAAAATATGGCTAACACTTTATACTGAAAAATTCCACCAATTTTCGTCAAAACTTTGGCCTTTTTAATCTGAATTTTAAGAAAAATTTTGAGCACCTATGCAGACAGATCGGTTTTTTAATTTTAGTGAAACAAGATCAAGTTTTAAGCGGCTAAAGAATCGCGTTGATTTTTAATGAATTTTTGCGGTTTTATGCATATATATAACAAGTGCAATTTGTAAAATATAGCGTTAATTTTTTTAATTTTGCTTGCAAACGGTCATACGCATTTTATTCTACGAAAAATTCCCTTTTATATGGTAAAAAGTGCAAAAAGTCGTCGGCAATAAAAAAAAAAACTTTAAAAATCAACGCGATTTTTTAGCCACTTAAAACTCGATCTTGTTTCACTAGAATTAAAAAACCGATCTAATGATATTTATATTTTCTAAATTAAGTCTATAAGTTTAGCACTTTACCTAACCAGTGCCACATATGTAAATCCACATTTCAAGCTTCGTACAAAAATTATGAAAATTCAACAAATTTTAACAATTGCACCCAAAAATTTTAAACTTTTTAGTACGCAGCTTTGTAGCTCATTAAATTTAAGCAGCGTAAAGTGCAAATTTCAAGACGCTAGAAAATCGCGTTTATTTTTAATAATTTTTTTTTGCTGATGGTGCTAGGCATTTTCTCCCATACAAACGAAATTGTGGAGAAAATACAGCAAAAAAAAAACAAATTATTAAAAATTAGGGCTGTGCGATTAATTGAATACTCAAAATTTTAATTAATCATAAAGTAAATGACTCAATTATTCGATTAATTGGAAATTATGATTACTCAAAAGTTCAGTTACTCGAGAAATCAAGATTTTTGATTAACCAAAAAAAAAAAAATATTTGAGTAATTTGATAATGATTAATCAACATTTCGAGTAAAATGAGTAATCAACATTTCAACTCTTTACATATGTATAAAGTAATTAAAGTTCCTTGATACTTTGAAAACAACGTTTCTGTTTTCAAAAATTAAAACGAAAAATTTTTTTTCATGAACAGAATGTAAAAAAGAAAATAAGCATTTTCCAAAGCAAACTCTTTTAACGAGCAAAATTATTTTTTTTGAGTAATCATATTTCAAGTAACTCGATTAATCATCGTTTTGAGTAATCAAAATCTTGATTACTCGAGTAATTGATTAACCGAATAATTGATTAACCAACTTGATCGAGTAATCGAATAATCGCACAGCCCTATTAAAAATCAAAAAACTACATACCCAACATTTTTTTTCTAAAAATTCTGAACAAAAAGCTTAAAATTTTTGGGTGCAATTGATAGTATGTTGAATTTTCATAATTTTTGCACGAAGTTTGATATGTGGTTTTTTTGTGGCGCTGGTTAAGTAAAGTGCTACACTTTTATAACCAAAATTTAAACATTAAATAAGCAAAAGGAAAATAGCCAAAACTAGTCAAAATGTCACTTGACTTAATCAGCTGACCACAAGGGTACATAAATTGCTTAATTATTCCACTAAGAGGAGCCATATTTTGATATTTTTTGTTCTTTTTTTTAATACCGTAGTGTCACTTTTAGTTCAATTTCATTACACATTTTTTATTCATATAGTTCTGTACTATACAGGGGGTCCTGACCACCCGCCCACCCTCTCTAAAATGGAGGGAAATGCTTTTAATTGAAAAACTTGATGATTGGTCTTTTTTTTTTGTTTTCCAATGAAAACATTTCGTCATTTTTAGAAGTCCAGAACGATTTGAAGTTCGAAAGTCATTCCGAGAAAAAAAAAATCAAACAAAAGTTACGTATTTTTAAACTCAGAATGCGAATCAGTAGTAAAAACATGCATGTAGGTATGCGTAGTTAAAAAAAAAAAGGGCTTCCGCTCAGTTTAACCCACTTCCGCTCGAAACCGGAAGTCAGTAATATCACCAAAAGTAAACCATCCCTGATTGAGTAGGTCATATTTTTACGTTTTACAAATAAAAAAAAGTTCCCTCCATTTTAGAGCGGTGTATGGGTGGTCTTGGACACTGTTTAAATATCCTATTACACATGCCAACAAAAATGGAAAAAATTTGGTGCGGAAAATGTTAAAGCTTTTTTTGATCGACTTTTTGGTGCTGATTAAAAATCCGCAAGTAAAAAGTTTGCATCAACTCCAGATTTTGAGAGAAATTAGGTCAAATTGTCCAAAAATCGCGTTTTTTGCAATGTTTGAGAAGCTCTAAAAAGGAAAAAAAATGTTATAGAACCTTCCATTTAGGCTTAAATTAAGGCTTGAGCTTTCGACTACAATCCCTGAAAATTTGGCAACCCCAAATACATTTTTTTTACGTTACCTTATTATGCGTTTTTTTACTTTAAACGACAATTTCTATATTCATAAGTACATATATTAAGCTGTTTTTTTTTAATATTTGTATGAATAAGAAAAAAAAATCAGTTAAAATACTAAGATTCTTTATTTTTTTAACCCAATTTATTTGCATGTTAGCTAAAAAAGAAGCAGGAATTACAAAAGCAAATGCTTCTCCATACATTTCATGAACAGACAAAAGAGCTGGAATTGCGACACAAAATGCAACTGGAACAAAAATACCAGGTGAGTTCCAAACAAATGTTACAAAAGTTTTCTCTCCGCTCATAAAACAATGAATAAAATGCTTCCTCAAACATTCATAAGTATGTATGTATTTATATTTATACCTTCTTTGCTGGAAGAGCATCGTAACTAAAATACCAAAAACTTGTTATGCATTTTCCTTTAAATGCCATTACTTTTTGGCTATATTTGCTAAGCCTTATCACACATAATTCATAGACATCGTTATTATATTTTTTCCCACAACATAAAAGAAGGGCATGCATTTTTGTTTACTTAACTCAAAATAATTTCTTTTAGCATATACATAAGTACTTATACATTAGCAAATATTAATGTGAAATTATAAGTTCTTGCTGTACATATGTCCATACACTGCCGGAACAAAGTATTGGCACAGAAAATTTTTCACAATATATGCAACAGTTTCTATTCTAATATTTTTCCGCCAATTTTGTATAAAAATATGGTTCATTCTACAACAAAAAATCTAAAAATATAATTTATAAATTTTATGAAAAACTCGCGAAAATTCAGCAAATTTGTATGCAAATTTTCAACTTTTTAATCAGATTTTTTAGAATTTATTTGAGTATGTAGATTTGTTATCATTAGATCAATTTTATTATAATATAGTACAACTTTTAAATAGCTAGGAACTACCGTTGCTTTTTGGCAATTTTTTCAAGCAGTCTCCATACAAAAATTTTTTTTCGAAAATACTTTATATTGGAAATATGCAAAACACCTTGAACAAAAAAAAATCTCAAAAATCAATGCGATTTTTGACTTACTCCGAACTTGCATTTTTTGACTAGAATGGGCTGAAAAACTGCATACTCAAAAAATTCTGAAAAATGTGATTAAAAAGTTGAAAATTTATTTTAGGAATCAATTTTTTATGTTTTCTGTTGTAGAAAGAACCATATTTTCATACAAAATTGGCGAAAAAATAGTAGAATAAATATTTTTGCATATGTTCTGAAAAATTTGCTGTGCCAATACTTCGTTCCAGCAGTGTATGTACATGTGCAATCTCGCACACAATCTTCACTCTGCTCTATTCCTAACAATCCATTAATCGAAGCACCTTAAGGAAGGCTTGGTTGGCGCCAACAAAATGTAGATAATCGCTAAAATTGCGTTATTGTTTGTCATAGTAATCGTTTGAAAAATAAATGTACCCAAATATCTTATTGCTCATGTTCGACTAGACATTCGCAGATAATTGATCATAGTTAGTATTTTCGATACGATAACATGCTGAAGACGCTTCAAATATTTTCCATTTCATTCGATATGTATAATATCTAATAATAACTATTTGTAGCAGCTGGATTTTGACTTAACTTTGTTTCCTTCTTCTGCTCCATTTAAAAAAGAAGAAATTACCTTTCATACTTTATTTAAAACCCACGAAAATTCTGATTTTTGAGATTCACTGATTTTAACACAAAGCGTATTATGCACTTTAATTTTAATACTTACTAAGTATTAGGATTAGTGCAATGTACATTAGGGTGGGGATTTTTCTAAATGGAAACAAAGACTTTTGGAACTGCCTCAAAGCCCATGTATTTTATGTGGCGAAAAAAGCACATTTTCGTAGAAATGGTATAGAATTCTTGAAAATTTATATTTTCCGAACGTAAGCTTCTGTTTCTCTTTAAGAGGCTTCCAGTAATAATACCCAATTGTTTATTTAACCGTTTTTTAGCATCAACTATTTTTAATAGGTCCTCTAAAAACGCCAAAAAAGTAATGGTAAAAAAGCAATTGGTTACATTTATAAGTAGCCTTCCTGTTCTACTATAATTTCATGCTTTTTTCATATGTCAACAGTCTCATATGCCTGCAGTCCCATCTGCAAAGTAGTTAGAGTGCTGACCAATGCCTCGAGTGCAGCTTGGCTGCCACTACGCACAAGTTAGCTGCTGCATCGGCAACTATTTTCCAAAACGTAGCCCATGGCTTTGGGCATTGCAAATACCTCGGCTTATAATACCGAGGCATGTTCCTCAAGAGAAAATTGAAACTTATCCCCATTATTTTCGATATATGTAGACACCAGTTCCTGATCCATTGTCACTCTTTCAGCCAACAATAAAGATTCGACAATATTAAGGCCGGGTTCAGTGTTGGCCTTTACCAAGGATTCCGATACAGGAACTCAACATTATAGAATCTACTCAACAAAATATGTGGTGGCGTACTATCCTAAGCATCGAAAAAAGACTTGTGCCAAGATCTCTGTAATCAGCCATCTGCGCCTTGCCCCACTCAGTATCATACCAGCATCCATTTATTTTAGGTATGCCGGTTGTAGAGAAGTTTGGCTACCAGATTTTCACAGATTCTATGCAATAGCGACCGGCCTTCAGTAGAAAAACACCTCCTCACAATCGTATTGGCTCCACCATGGTAGTAGTCTCCTCAAATATGTAATGCCATCGGTGACACAAATGTTAACTTTAGTCTGGTCAAAACTAAACCACTGTATTAGCCTCTTTTTGTCAACTTTTACCCTTTACTTGATTGCACTTGGAAGTTGGGGATTTATTTACGAACCTCCGAGTGTATTTCTGACTTGAAAAAGAGCTTCTCATAAAAATACAATCGCTGTGCGGAGTCGGCATAAAACTGTAGATCTCTTCCCTTTGTTTGACAACACGCGCACGCCACAAATCGGAGGAGAAGCTCGCCAAACACTAACATATATATAAGCGCCAATCTATTATTTTATTAAACCTAATCTTAAAATTAATTTCTCCTGTAGTAATCCAATTTGTATACTAAGTGCAAAAACTTTCTAGTGAGTAGTGAAAGCGTTTCCCAATTTTGCAAAAACTTATAAGTGGCAATTATGCTTAGAGTGGCAAACTCGGTCTAGGTCCTTTAATAAAAGTGTAAATGTCTCTTAAAAGAGCAGTTGGCCGTAATCTTATTTGTACTACTTAATGGAATATTTGAAAATTTCCATTACTTTTTTATACAAAGATTTTGGATTCATACGAAAACAAGAAACAGGCCAAATAATTTTGAATCTATAAAACCAGTTTTATCAAAAAAGCTATCAGTAAGATATCTGTACATATGTACATTAGACCGTACCACCATACAAGCAAAGAATTTTTGTAAGGCAATTAATTAATTGGCCGAACCAAGATATTGCCTTTTTACATTTTTCGTGCTACCCTACTTTCGGCCATACAGGGTGTATTCGAGCTGCAATTAATGCGGCAATGTTACTTTTTATGAAAGAGTATAACGTTCTACGCGAAAACTTGGGTGACTCTGCCTACATCAAGGGTTTGAGCAACAAAATTTTGAAAATAAGTTACTCATTATTGGCCAATCAAAAGAAACATAAAAAGTTTTACTGCACAATTTCTGCAACATTTCAGAAGATTTTGAGCTGAGCATCAGCAACATATCATCAAGAAACCAACAAGGCTGCAGTGTTTCGAACACACCCAACATTTTTTAATTAAATAGTTTTACTGTAATAATCGAAATTCTTCCTTACCAAAAGTTTAATGATTTTTAAAAAATAAGTGCTCCAAGAAAATTACTTTAAAAGGTTGTCATCCTCTGCTATAAAATTTGCAAAAACTGCACTTAGCACCTTTTCACTCTAAGCTAGCGATAAGCAATCGTACCTCGTATTTCAATGATCCATATATAATAATATGCATGTACTATGTAGCTATAATAAAATCACGAAACTAAAAAATTTCAGTTCAAAATAATCGTTTGATTGAGATTCAAAAATTGCAAAAAAAAACCAAAACCAAAACCAAAACTTTTTCGAACTTATTGTAATTATGTAGTTTGCGGTGCATTCACATGGCGCTTTCCAGGAACTACGAGAACAAAGACTTTCCACTGCCGCAGAAGAGCAGCAACAAAGAGAACGGCGCGAGCGTGACGTAATCAAGCGGAAGGAAAACTGCAGTGCCAATGCCAGTCCCGAAGTCAAGCAAATTTTAAACGTAAGTAAATGAAATGTTATTACCATATAAATAGCTCTATGATATACATACTTTCAATTATTTGATGGTTTTCATTATTACAGAACTTTCTAATTAACCGCAAACAAGCGGCCTCCTCCAATGGCATAACAACCACGTCACCTTACAGAAATAGGTAAATTTTTCATGCTCCAGCGCTGTGCTCTGAAACTAACCATGTCACTCAAATCTTTCTGTTACATTGATTGCTTTTTATTTATTTTTTTTTTTTTCTCTTAATAGAGGTGTTGTGAAAAGCTCATCCGGTGAATCGTTACCAGCTGGTTCTCTAACAAGTTCCCATCCATATAAAATACCGCAACCACCATCTTCATTTTTGAAATATGAATCCGACTTTCCACTACGCAAAACAGGCAAGTGTTTTTTTAATTTAATATGATACTCGTATCAGCTTGCTTAAATTCAGTCACAAATGCGTATTTATGTATGTATGTAAATCTAAATCGGCCACTGATTTTGAAGTTCTTTAAGCCAAATGCATTTGAAATTAGTTGAAATCATATGCAGAATTGGTCAATTAACTAATCTGATCTAATAAAAGAAGTACCTACTGATTTAATTCCTTTTAAAGTGGTTGATTTTCCGACTGGGTTAATAAAACCTTACTTTTTCCATGCTACATACATACATACATAAATACGCGCAATATAATAATTTTTACTGCTTAAAAATAATAATAAAATAAATGAAGCAATAAATCCCTGCATGAATACAAGAACGTTTTTGTTAAAATTACCAACATTATGTTTACTATTTGATTAAATGAGTTAATTTTTTGTTGTAATTGAAATGTTTGAAATAATACCGAAATAACGAAAACTATCATATTGTTTTATATAATATACAAGACTATACATACTTATAGAGAAATATGTACATATAGTGCAGGTGAGAAATTTTATTGAGCAATAGTTAAAGTCATAAGTCGAATATATGGCCGTTTGCACAGTGGGGTTAACGCCCTGTTCGGAAATGCATCAATGCAAAGCATCAGGCTCTTTTATTTCTTAGCAATAATTGATGGAAATGTCCAATATTAGTTGCGCAAATTGGGAATTTTAGTTTAGAAATAAAAAAAAAAACGGATGCTTCTTTGCATTAACGCAGGGGGTAACTCACATTCGGCTGTTAATTTTCATTTCCTGTACAGAAAAACGGTCCTTACCTACTGCCGGTTTCACGAAAGCAATTTAAGAGAAAAATTATTATTTTTTTATTTGCTGTCGGTTTCCATATTAAAAATTCAAACAAAAATATAATTTTTCACTTAAATTGTTTTCGTGAAACTGGTATTACCAACATAAATATGTTTAAAAGGTTCGGAATTTCTTAAAACTTGCTACGCCTCTTACATAAACTTTCTATTGATTAGCTACTCGATGAAAACTACCTTACTCACCTAACTCACCTACTCACCTTAAGGGGGTTCAAAAGTGTTTTTTCCTCAAATTCCTCCCTGGGGGATTTGGGTATACTATGCATTTAAAGTTATTTATAAAGTCTGATTTGGGGTTTCTTCACTTTTAATTTTCACAAGTAATCGGCAAAGGCGCTCTAGGAATGTATATATCAAATACATAAGTTTTTTTTTATAAGTATGTATGTATGAATATACATATGTATGTATATATAGGAAACAATATGTATCTATGTGAGCTAATAAAACTAAAAAAAGCATTGTTGTTTCATATGTATGTTATGTTCTACTACCATTCATTGAAGGATTCAAAGAAACTCTAAAAATAATTACATATTTTACTTATTAGATATTCACAACAAATGTCGTATTGATGTATGTATGTCGTAAACATTAAATGGTTACATTAATGTTTAGAGGACTTGAAACCACAATCAACTATTTTTTAAAGGCGTGACAATTTAGATGACTTTTAGGCTACCTCAAGAACCCTCGATATATATTTTTAGTTGCTTAAAGTTTACGACATACAGCAATACGACAATGTCGTAAACATTGTTGGGAATATCTCATATAAGGCATTAATTTATGCTTTTTTATTTCAAACAATTTATATTAAATTTTGCTTCCAATTACTAATAAGGTTGATTAGGCAAAGACTAAGGCACAAATAAAACAAATATGGTGAATTTTGCATTTATTTAGACCATCGTAGCGCTAAAACGCTTATATATTTTTTCTTTAAAAACTTAATACCTTAGATGCCATTTAGACTGGGTTCTACCGAGTTAACATAAAAGATAAAGTATTTCCTAAACATATAACTAAAATGTTTAGTAAGAATTGTTATTGGTTTCGAGATTATTTTGTCACAAAGTTATATCGTCGATGTTTTTGCAATATCGCCCATCGACCAGTTGCAAAACCGCCTAAATCGCCGTTGTGGCAAAAATTAGATTTGGTAACCCTGAACTCCAGGCATCGAGATTTATGCATAAAACTATTAAAATCGTTATTAAAACAACAGATTTGTAAAATAATAGCTAGAGAAAATACAAGGCAATGAATTCAAAGAATAAACCGTTTTTTCGCTCTCCTGTAAAATTTGAGTGCCATAAGATAGGCGGTTTTGCAATTGGGCGATGGGCGGTTTTGCAAAAACATCGACGATATGGTACATGTAAGAAGGGAGGTGGTTATGACGAGTTAGATAAGCAGTAAGCAACTTGAAGTTGGCACTTTTCAAAAGATGTATGCCTTTTATAGCCAAAAAATATCGATAAAGTGTAAGCCCGTCTAAGGACTCCTAACACTCTCCAGTACTTACTGCATTATAAGTTTACCAATTAACCGGTTCTGCTGCCAAAATGGATGAGCCTTTCCTAGCCATTTCGTCAGCGACTTCGTTACCTTCAATCCTGCAGTGTTCTCGTGCCCAGCAAACTGTTGCTGTGTTTCTTGCTACCAAGAGTTGAAGAGTGCCAAAGCACATCCTGATGAGTCCATAGGTTATCGTCCTGTTGAGTAGGTTCCTGCGGGCCGCATATTAAACTCTATTAAACTCTTTTTAAGGTTGATTATGACACAGATTGAGATTGCTTGTACTTCGGGCAGAAATACAATGGGTCCATAAACACCCGCATCCGGTCTGTGTACATATCTGTGATCGAATTGAGGTTAAATATTTGACCAAACCTCTCAATATGGTGTTTTGACCTGGAATTACCTTCCAAAGTAAATTTCTTTTATGAACGATTCAGTGAACCCCCATATCGTAGATCGGATGTTTTACCCAAAATACTGCTATGTTAGCTCTTCTCACGAAGGGTACCATCTGATTCAAATCACATTCGGATCCCCCTCAAGCTGCTGTTGTCTGGATAAAAATATGGAGTGGAGTTCAAACCAGGAGCGACTCTAGAGCCGCGGTGGAAGAAGTTCTCATTGTATTTGTTGCAGCAGTTTAAAATGAGTTGTTAAAGTCATTGTCAGGGACTTCCTTAATCATATTTTTTAATACATATCCTAATACAGTAGCCGCTCACAAATTGGAAATCTCAGAAATTCGAATCTTCCAGAAATTAAAATTAGAATTTGCAAAACATTTTTTTTTTTTTTTTGATCACAGGAAAACCTGTATTTTATTTGAATAAACTAAAACTTAAAAGGGGACTCACCAATTTATCTGTGCTACCCACTATTTTCAATTTAATACAACCATATATTTTTAATAAAAAAAAAAAAATACATGTTACATGTATTGCACTAGATTGTTACGTTTCGTTTTCTTGTTTTTATTAAATAAAATGATGTTCAAAAAAGAGTTCTATTGTAGTGCTCTTAAGTAAATTTAATCCATTTTTAATTCATATTCGCATAAAAAAAACTTCCAGAAATTAGAGTATTTCAGAAATCAGAATTACCGTAAACACAAAGTGGTTCCTTATTTTTGTTATTTATGGCCTTATAATATGGTTCTAATATGCGAGCATCTACTGTATTGATATTATTATCACTTCAAAATCATACAAAAACCAAATTGGAAAATAGACGTATTTAGAAAATTAAATTACCAATGGCATGACTAAGGGTTAAACATTAAATTAATTAAGCGGTCTTAAGTGTATGATATTTCTCGTTAGTTCTTTTTTTTTTAGTTAAGTCCTCTGAACAAAAGGAAAGCTTTTTCATTACTTTATTTTTACAATACTGAGAATTATTGCTCATGAGCACAAATGTAGCAGTTGTATATTGCTATCGAACTTCGTAGAAATTTAAGTAGCATAACAACAACAACAAAAAAAAAGAAAAATAAAATCAACTTTAGTATCTAAAAATAACCACTGGCAATAATATTCACATACAGCATCCGAACCAAATTTGCTGAAGCTACGTCTAAAGCAAAGCGTTATTGAGCGCAAGCAGAGGATCAGTGGTCCAGCTGGGTTACGTCGGCATGAGCGCATATTGCAGCGAAGGCAGCAGAAGCAAAATTCCGCTTTAACAAGTACGTATAATGCAAGGCTTTAACACTATTTATATATAGCATATATATGTAAACACGAAACAAGCAAAGCAGAGCAAAACAAGCGAAGACAAGACAAATTTAAGCATTTTTTTATTTATTAGGTGTAAAATCAAGGCAATGCAAATAAATTAAAATTATTAATAATAGAAATTTAAAAGGAATAGAAAATTACAAGAATTATGTACATACATATATGTACTTATGTATGTGGAATTAAAAAAATTTAATAATTTTAGTAGTACAAGGAATAAAGACAATTCATTTCGGAACAATCAGGGATTGATAAAAAAAAGCCCCATTGATTCTATTGCTGCTAGGTAGGCTAACTTTTCGAATCAAATTTGCTCGAGAACCGCTATTCTAGCGAAAAAAGTGACCCCATATTTTTTGTAGACAATTCCCTAAGCTTAAAACTCGGCAACCATAATTTTTTTGTAAAAGTAGACGTTAACCGTAGACCTAATACCGATTTTACATTATTTTACTTGAAACCTATTCCGTACCAGCTGTGAGCTTATTTCTGTTACTTGACAGTTTTACTACACTTAATCCGAGTAAACAGAACAGGATCAAGCCTGATATTTTCGCAAAAAAAAACCGTTTATTGTGACCTTTCACACCGCGTAACATATCTAGGCGTAATCGAATCTTTTGGCATGTTGTTTGAAGCCACAAAAAAAAGGTCCATATAAAAATCCAGCATTTCCCTAATTCCGAGTCCGGCTTTCCGAGTTTTGTCTTTATTCCCTGGACTATAAAGAATTTCAACATACTTACTTTTAAACTATTCTCAACCACAATTGCTTCGCTCTGGATTCTGGTTTGTTAACAAATGATGAACGATTTTTGCTATGTGTATGTAGGTATTTACTATAAATTATTGCTGCATACCATTAACAGAATGAAAGCTTATATGTTTTCCTCGAAATATGACTTGAATGCTTGCTAATTTGTTTTGTAATGCTTTGAATGTGTTTAATGCTTCAGAGGATTCTTTTATATTTTCATATTACTAATGAAATAAAATAAAACCCCTTTAAAAGTATGTATATAGATATATGTATGTACATATGTATGTATAAAATATTTGACATATCTACATTTTACACACATACATATATCTACATATATATAATACCGCACAGCTTAATATGAGTCCTTTAGGACACACAAAAAAAAAAAACTCAAATAATTGGTCAATTTAATTCTCAATCAACAGATTGCAGCAGCACACCAGATTCTGGACCAAACTCACCACCTTCGTCCACACTCTCTTCTGGCGTTGTGGGTAGTCGCGGCTCACCTACTAGTGCACCCATTCAAGAAGAAAACGAGGAAAGTAGTCAATATCAGCCCGGCCAGCGCAGTAGTATAAATGATCTCTCGCTGTTTAGCTCACCCTCGATGCCAAATATTCCGCTTGGCGGACCTCATTTGGCAAGCCATGCACATGCTCAAGCCAACAACTATGCTGTGCTGGCCGCTATGCGACAACATGTACCTACTCTAGCCGCTCCTACATACTACAGTCCACTGGCGATGCCATTCGCTCGTCACCAACCGCCACCGCCACCGCCACCATCTTCATCGCATACTACTGTGATAGCGGCTGCCCTGCCACCCGCCCCTTCGCCAGTAGTGCGTTCTGCATCGGCTACGTCCACCTCATCGTCACAAGCTTCTTTGGCCAGTGATGTTATACCACCTATTGCGCATGCCGCTTCAACACTCCTAACTGCAGGTGGCGCTAGCGCACACAGTCACGCTGTCCTAGGCTCTAGTAGTCTACATCCAGGCGCACCAATGGTCGGTGTTTCACCGTCGATGTATGGCCAGCCCATTACTGATGCCCAAGTGGCACACGCCCACCTAAATAAGCAAGGACATCGACCATTGGGACGTACTCAATCGGCTCCTCTACCGCTGGGTCACCCGATGCTCACCGGAACTGGACAGATCGGCGTGGGGCAAACGCACTATGAGAACAGTGATGTGAGTATCGATATTGATTTCGATAACTTATCGGTAGATTTGTTGATAATTTATCGGTCGATTTATAGATAAATATTTCGATATTGATCGCAATTTCACGTACGAAGATGATGAAAACAAGAACGGAAATAATCAGTAGCAAAGAACTCTCGATTGCACTCACATAAAGATGTAAGCGAAATTTTTTTTCAAAATTTTGTTTTTGAGGCAGAAATGTTCCTAGAGCATTTCTGCATCAAAAATGATATTTTGGAAAAAATGTCGCTTACATCTTTTTAGCGGTTAGGACTCGATATATTTTGTTGTAATTTAATAGATTTATATTTTTCGAGTTTAACCAATAAAAATTAGAAATATTAATGTTTTTTCCCTTCCAATAATTAGGTTATTTTTTTAAATATCGAGATTTTTTTTTATTAATGAATTCAGAATTTTTGGCAATTTGCATTAAAAGCCGAAAATCGTGTATATAATTTAGAATTGAATTTTTGCTAAAACAGCCAACAGTATTAGTTAAAAATACCCATAAAGAGGCTAATTAAATCAGAAAAACTTATGTTATTTCGAAGTTAACGCTTGTAATGCGCGCCAACTAGAGTCCGACCGATTAATCGGTGTCGGCATCGGCTTATATCGGCCAAAAACTGGGCATCGGCATCGGACTCTTAGTCGATTCATTTTCCTTTTTTCGCACTTCATTCCATGTTATTTATTTTTACCTTTTTTAATTTCTTAAAATCTTAAAATATTAATGCATCTGAGTCCTTCTGCCATAAATTTGTTCTCATGTTTCGTTTTTATGATGTACGGTGGCGAGAATGTAAATAGGGAAGACACATTTTAGCAAGTTTTGGCTATTTTTCTTTGTTTAAAAAATGTATATTATATATTTTTTTTTTATGGAGAAAATCAGCAACACTGTCTACAAAAAAGTTGTCAAAAATCCACGGTAAAAATTTGCACTTCGTATAAAAAAATTGAATGGGCTATAAAGTTGCATACTTAGAATGTCTCTAGAAAATCTAATAAAAACGCTGTGAAATTTTGCTAATTTTTGTACAAAGTTTGAAATTTTTACTTACACGTCTTTTTTTTAATGGGCTACACTTTCAAAAAAAGTAATAAACATTAAATAAACGAAAGGGAAATAACCAAAGAATGCTAAAATGTTTCTTCCGTATTTATATTTTCGTCACTGTATGTATTGTTATGATTATCCTTGAATTAATCGCTGAATTCCTAAATCTTTCGGGTTCTTTTCATTGGATTGTTAAATTATTTACGTTACAACAATACTTTCATTTATTTTACATTGAATGAGAAAAAGACTATGGAACAAAGTATTGCAACGATATATATAAGCGATATACTATTTTTTAAAACATATTTATGTATGTACACAAATAAGTGAATAGATTCTTGGATGATTATTGTTTTTGTAATGTTACTTAGTTTTTCTTTTGTTACTATTAGAATTTATTAAAAGCATGTGTTCTTGAATGAATTTATATTCTGGTAGTTTTTTTTAAGGAATTGGAATCGGCCAAAAATTGGGAATCGGTCGGACTCTATCGCAAACGCTATGCAAAATTATAGAAATTATTTTCTCGAAAAATTTTCGGGATGGATTTTTTTTTTGTAGCATAGTACCTAATACCTACCAAAATCGCTGGTTAGTTTTTTAAGGAGAAACCACACAGATCTGAGTAATTAAAGACCCGATGATATGCTTATATTGCAATTTTTAACGATTTTGATGAAAAAAAAACAGAAATTTATAAATTTGAAATTAAATTTTTACTAGAAAAACCGACTTTATTATTTAAAAATACACCTAAAGCGCAGAGACCCAAATAATAATTATTTCATGGTGGAGTTTTAAAAAGTCATTCAAATTTTCGTAAGAATTATAAAAGTTTTTTGATAATAATTATGCGTGAGAAAAATTTTTTTAAGTCATCGATACCTATTATTTTAAGACTTATATAATAGAAGTATTTTCATAATAGTTATCTGCGAGATAAATATTTTTAAGTCTTCAAAGACTTTTATTTTGAGACTTGTATTATAAAAGTCGTCATAATAATTATGAGTGCGAAAAAATTTGGTAGATAGTCCCGAGCGGGTCCCAAACCAAGCCCCAACTGGTCCCAAACTACTCCCCAATTAGTCGCGAACTGGTACCCACCTAGCCTGGTCCCCAACTAATGCTGAAAGTCTTTTAAGACTTAAAAATTTTTTCGCGCTCATAATAATTATGAAAAGACTTTTACAATATAAGTCTTAAAATAAAAGTCTTTGAAGACTTAAAAATTATGATCTCTCTGATAATTATTATGAAAGGACTTTTATAATATAAGTCCTTGAATAATAATTATGGATGACTCGAAAAATATTTATCTTAATATAATAATTACACTGGTTTACAGAAAATATGTTTTATGGATGCCACTATCCAATTCCCACGTAGAATTCCTCGGTGATTCTGCAAATCGAGATCATATTTTTCTATGGATAACTTTTCGAGATATATGCAATTTACCGTTACTCAGCTTTAAAAAATAGGGGTTTCACTTAATCACGTATATCTTTCGAACCAATTGAATAATCGTAATGCAAAATACGGGAAGTGATAGAAAATGAAATTCTCCATAAACTGTATATATATCAATTTTCGATAGCCCTGATAGTTACTGAGAAATTAATTAATCATTTCTGACACATCTTGTATTCAATGCAAACACTCTAACTACTCAGGTGTACGCGGCGTATGAGTAACACTCTTTTCTGCTGATATTTCATACAAAAGATCCTTGCGCATTTTCATTTGACCATTTTGACTTTTTCCCTGTTAAAGTTTGAATTTTTTGAATTTTTTCATCAAAAAACAAAAAAATCGGGAATGATTAATTAATCTATATACGGTTTATGGAGAATTTTATTTTCTATCATTTTCCGTACCTTGTATTACGATTATTTAATTGCTTTGTAACATATACCTGATTAATTGGAACTACTATTTTTTTAAGCTGAATAACGGTAAATTGCAAATATTTCATAAACGTATCCCTACAAAAAAAAAAATTAGCTCGATTTTCGGAATCGACGTGCGATTTTACATACAAATTGGATAGTGGCATCTGGCATCAGTGTAATTGACTGACTTTTATTATTTTTCTTATAATAGTTATGTCTCTGCTAAAAAGACTAACTTAATCAGAAAGACTTATGTAATTTCGAACTATGTGGGGACGTTACTTTTTTGCAGGCTGAACAACAGGCACACATGTTGGTTACGCAGAAAATACGCCAAACATTGATCAATCGTAGTAGCGCTAATAGAGAACCACAACTAAAAGAGGAAGAAGATGCGGCCGAAGTTATTGATCTGACGGATAAAAAGAAGCCACCAAAAACCGTCATTACAAGTATTGTACCCACGTGTACCTCACAAAATCTGCCAGAAACGACAAATGTTCCGTTGGGCGCATGCTTGCCCAACACGCCGAGTAAGTTGCGCGATCAGGAGTATCTGCAACAACAACGGGAACTGCTGTACAGACAGGCATTACAAGTACGTACCTACATAGATATGTATATTATAACCATTCCTTTTACTGCATTATTTATTATATAAGTTATTTTAAATTAAAAAAATATATATTTATTTCCAACTTTATTTCGCGTATAGATGGATGATTCAGTTGCACGTAGTTTAATGCGTCCTTTATCACGCACTCTATCTAGCCCTTTGGTTCATATGGGCCCAAATGGCATTAGTCAACTTCCAGATACTGGTCAATATGGCCCACCTATTATTACTTCTTCATCAGCTGACCATATTCCTCCAGTTAATCTCACGGTGCCGCATCGGCGTCGAGTGCTCGAGCACTCGTCTGCCGGCGCGACAGCATCCAGTGCGTTTTCTTCGTTACCTGCCATTCAATCAGTTATTGCTGCTGGAGCCAGTAGCAAGCTTGCAACTGATTATTCTACCCATCATAAAACAACTACAGGTCTCGCCTATGATAATCTAATGCAAAAACATGCCTGCACTTGTGGTGATAATTCAATTCATCCGGAGCATAGTGGGCGTTTGCAGAGTATCTGGGCCCGTCTAATTGAAACTGATTTGGCCAAGCGCTGCGATCGCCTGCGTTCACGTAAAGCTACATTGGAAGAATTACAAACAGTGCACACAGAGGCGCATACTATGCTCTTTGCTTCGAGTTCGTGTCAACTGAATCGGCAGAAGTTGGATAATCCACCAGCGTCGAGTTTTGTTCGTTTATCCTGTGGAGGTTATGGTGTAGATTTGGACACTACTTGGAATAAGGATCATACTGCAGCTGCTGCACGCATGGCTGCCGGTTGTGTTATTGATCTGGCTTTTAAAACAGCTAAAGGCGATATTAAAAATGGTTTCGCGGTAGTGCGACCACCAGGCCATCATGCGGAGGCAAATTTGGCGATGGGCTTTTGCTTCTTCAACTCCATAGCGATTGCTGCAAAATTGCTGCGTCAACGTATGCCAGAAGTGAAGCGTATATTGATTGTGGATTGGGTGAGTATATTTTCAGATAAATAAGTGACTTAGGTTACACTGTGAAACTTTTAGCAATTTCCTGATCGTTTCATCACGCGAAACTTACAACTAAATATTTTATTTACTTTATATCCCAAAAAAGATATATGTAGATAATAGATTTTTGTTAATAGCTGGAATATACATACATATACGAATACATACCTGAAGAATAATCTTATATTTTACGGCCCTATTCCCACGCCAATGACAAAACTCATCGCATAACGATTGCTTTAACTACTGCGCCTAAAACTTTGACGCCGAATATAAGCATTGGGCCCCTCGTGTTGGGCGGGAATGGAGGTTAAAAACCGTTGGGATTAATTAATTAATTGTTTCGTCGTTGTCATGTACCTAATTGGCTACAACTATAACATGGAAAACGGTCATTATTAGAGCGCTTAAAGTCAAGTTTTTCAGCATGCTTTGTAGTGCGTTTTGTCACCATAAGACATCGGATTTTTATGCTAAAAAATAAACCTAAAAATATGTACCATCACAAATATGAGCAAAATATACAAATAGGCTTATTTTTTTGCATATAAATCCGATTGCTAGTCATAATGGGGATAATAGGGCCGTTAATTTTATTCTTCTCTTATCCATGATGACTAGAGCGCGTTTTTTTATGCTAAATACGGCGCCTAGAAATATGTACCACATAACTAAGCAAAGTGTAATTTGTATAAGCAAAATGTATACAAATTTATACACTTTGCTTATAGTTAGGTGGTACATATCTCTATGCTCCTTATTTTGCATAAAAATAACTCGCTCTAGTGATGACAAATATTGCCAAAATGGCTACAGTCATAATCTCTTTGCATAAAAGTATGTCGCGAAAACTAACTTACAAGCACATAAAAAAATACGAAACAAAATTTTGTACGTAAAACTAACTTACAAGCACATAAGAAATACGAAACAAAATTTAGTACGTAATGTTAGTGCTAATAAAATCAAGTTTCTGTGGCATATTTTTTTCATTCCACATATGACAATAGTCATCGCGGCGAGTTTTGCATGAGAATTGGGTCATTCATCTTAATCCTACTGTCCTGTGCTTATGAGCAATTAAATCACTACTGTCATAACTACTTCGCCTAAAAATATGCCGCAAAATAATAGTATGTATTTCAACGAGTTTTGTGATCTCGCGCGAATATGGCTATAGATCTTAATATTTGCCCGGTGCAAGCATGTTTCTATAATTCACTGATAATGCACTTTTATTGCATCTCAAATGTTACCTTTTTTCGTGAAGAATTTTGAATTCACTACAGCCGCTAAAGAAGTTTCACTTCAAAAATAAAAACAGATGCGAATATAAAAATATTTTCAATATTTAGGACGTGCATCATGGTAATGGCACACAGCAAGCATTCTATGATAACCCTGATGTGCTGTATTTGTCCATACACCGGCATGACGATGGCAACTTTTTCCCCGGCACTGGCGGCTCAACTGAGGTAATTGAATTTAAATTTTGCAACTCAAATATTTTCACTGTAAATAACTTTATTTTGTTTTCTTTTTCTTTTTTTTTTCGTTCGCTATCATAGTGCGGTGTTGCCGCCGGCGCTGGTTTTAATGTCAACATTTCCTGGTCTGGTTCACTGGATCCACCACTAGGCGATGCTGAATATATTGCTGCATTCCGTACGATTGTGATGCCAATCGCAAAGTGTTTTAACCCAGATATTGTTTTGGTGTCGGCTGGTTTCGACGCTGCTTCTGGTCATCCGCCACCTTTAGGCGGTTACCTAGTGTCACCGGCATGTTTTGGTTTTATGACGCGTGAACTTATGCAATTAGCTGAGGGTAAAGTGGTGCTGGCGCTAGAGGGTGGTTATGACCTACCGGCAATTTGTGATTCTGCACAAGAGTGTGTACGTGCACTACTCGGTGATCCATTGTCTGCGATTGCGGAAAGTGAGCTTAATAGACAACCTTGTCAGAATGCGATAGATACATTGCAGAAAACAATTGCAATACAGGTAAACTGTTCGCGCGTAAGTTAGACGAAATTTTTATAAAAAAAAAAAATCTTATTAATTTTTGCAGTTACAACACTGGCCATGTGTGCGTCGTTTGGCTCATACTGTCGGGTTATCCGCACTCGAGGCGTTAAAAATAGAACGCGACGAATCGGAAACCGTTACAGCTATGGCCGGCCTTTCAATGCAATCGATGAACAGGTACGATTTAGGGTTTTAAAGCAAGCACACATACAAGTGTACACATACGCCTTTTCAGAACTTTATCTCGTGATGACTCAGAAGAGCCAATGGATCAAGACGAAGTCAAGTAATTTAAAACTGCAAAACTCGAACGATTTTTGACTGATTTTGAACGCGATCATTGCACTTAAGCCTGCATATAGGTATATATGTAGCTGATACATTAAAAAAAGGCCGCGGGCAATTAATTACGGCTCCTTTAGCAATGTGGATACTGAATTTACGCGCCCAGACGGCTGTGGAAATACAGCTGCTTGTACATGTGTGGAATATGTCAAAATATAGATGCGGTGTTTCTATTTCTGTTTACAAAATTTTCTTTGTATTTTTCCACTTTTGTCTGTTAGCTGAAACTATACGGCAAGGAATTCCTGGAGAAAATTCCGCCACAGCATTTAAGTGAAGCTGATGTTTTTCAAAGGCGATTGGAAAAAAATGAAGATATATCTCTTGTCGATGAAATTTGTTCGTTTCTAAGCTTAGGAAAAATGTTGAAAACAGAATTGATATAGTTAATTGTATACATAGTTAAAGCAAATGTACTCTATGTATGCATACATAAAAAATTTGATATTTTAAAAATAATACACTTGCATAAAAACGCATACAGATAGATGTACATGCAACTCGTTAAAAGAGATTTGTGGGTGCATATATTTACATTGATTTGTATCTGTGCAAATACATACGAGTATAATGCATATGCATGCTTTTTGATATTTAATAATAATAATATAATACATATAAAATAAAAGCAGAGAGTTTCTTGAATTTTGATTCAATGGTATAAGATAGTGGCTAGGAAAGAATTTTTAATGTTATGGTATGTATGTATATAAGATAAACTGTAGTAGCTCATTTTCATTAGCAACAATTTTATTTCCTTTATATCACACTCAAAGAGCATAAAACATATTTTTAGAAGAAAAACAATAAAAATGTGATAAAAGTTAACGATTGAATCAAGGGCGAAATTCTTAAGAAAATTAACAAAATAATTTTAAATGACCATGCGCAATTGTCACCAACTAACCACCGTCTCTTATAACAGACAAAATAACGCGAAATGAAATCATTGTAACGGTCAAACCCACAGATTTACCTAAAACTCATTGTAATTTTTAAAATTACTTGATTTTAATAAAATTTTAGTTTTAACATTTTTGAATACATATGTTAATTATTACTATCTAAACTCAATAAAATATGTATGTATTTGTAACTGTAGGCCTACGTTGTATGAGATAAAAAAATATATGTTATGATTACTACAAATGTATGTACCTATGTACTATGTATTTAAATGTAATTTAGAAGTAAGGAGCAACTTTATTTAATATGCATATACTTATGATTTATGCTTGCATGCGTGCAATCATATATGTAATACTCTTATATTGGCAGTACCTTGAAAGTACATCCGCAAACATTAGGGTGCAGATATATAATATTAGAACGAGAAAACCAAGCAGCCAATGTGCCCAGAATGACGTGTTGAAAATTTAAAAAAAAAAAATCAGAGCCGGTGGAGTAACCGTCACAATTCTACAAAATTTTAAAAGCAAAAAAAAAACATTGCGGAATTGTACTATATAAAACTGAGCCATTTTGGGGAAAACGGGGAGACGCTACATGTTGTTGTTGTTGTTGTTGTAGCAGCATACAAATTCCCCAAAGACTTTTTGGCTTTTTGGCTACATGTCGGCTGAGGCGCTGGAAAGGAAGGCACGCAACCTCACAGTATATCTTTTAAGAGTGGTTACGGTAATCGCCTCAAGTGTAACCTTTACATCTCTTGCTGCTTTTTCAAATCTGCTGGTTTCCACAAAGCTTGCACCAATGACTTTCATGGAACCATTTTTTGTACATAAATGTTAAATTGTTTTATTATATTTAATTTAAACCACTCCTGGAGTGACTTGGCAGTTGTTTGTTTGTAGTATTTCACAAATATACATTTATACTAACGAAACGCTGTCTCCTTTTGATCGCGGAATAAAAACATTGTGAAGATACGTTACTATCAATATAGAAGTATTACATAAATGTACAATATACAAAGTAATAAACATACTTATATATGCATAGTCGGGCGTGGATTTAAGTTAATTTATGCTGTCTTCACGCTTCAAAAAAGAATTCACTAAAGTGGTGATTCCACGCACATGCATGTTTGAACAAAATAAATGTTGCTTTATTGTTACAAATGGAAATTTCAAGTGAAAGGAAGATTACAACAAGCAGAGGGGCAATATTTTTATTTTTTTATTACATTTGAAACTGTCAAAAATTGCAAATGTTTTGACAAAATGAGCTTTTTGTCTACTAATGGCCTTATTCATAAAAAATAAAGTAGGTTTAAAAACCTTTATAAATTGACTTTTTCACACATTTTTCATTATATAAACCTTTTGTAAAGCTACTTTATTTTTTATGAATAAGGCTATGAGTCTATATTTTTGATCCGCAAATTGTTTAACTCAGGAAATTTATAAATAGTTGCATCCTTGAAAGGAGTTCACAATAAGGCTCTGCGCCAATTTGTAGCTCACTTTGTTCCTTTTCCGACAATAAAATACAACAAATCCTAATTAAATAATGTTTATGGACTTATGTATTTGTCTATATTTTATATATTTTTTATTTTAATATAGCCTAGACAGATGACGACAGCGTTAATACACAATTCCTGATTCATAAATGTTGAATTCTACTTCGCGGAAGAAAAATTAGATCTATTTGTGGCAATAGAAATAAAAATTATGTATATTCTAGCCTAGTTCTTAGCCGCCGTTGCCGCGTTCATTGAGTAGTGGGTTGGATCGGTTCCTGACTTGCACAACTGAATTAGAAATCGATTATAATTAAAAATTTAAATGTTGTTAAATTTTTTTATTTCTCGAAATCGAAAACTAAATTTTCTTTTGTAGCTAAAATGCTGTAGTCATGAGTATTATATTTCACTTATTTTCTAAACACTTTCTAACCTCAATTTTTGTGGATATTCGCAAAGCTCCGAGTCTAATTCTTACATGAAAAAATTATTTCTCTTATTCTAAAAAAAATGTTAGCCCCCTTCCTATTCGTATTACTAGTGTCCGACTGATCATTAGAGCTTGGTAACGTAAAGATCTGGCAGAGTATTTGCCAAAAATAAGCATAAGCTTTAACAATAATAAAAAGTGTAAAATATATTTGTATGTGATCGATTACAATAAAACCACCCACTAATGTCTTCAATTTGATGCAAATTTAAATAGTTCGGCTTCATTCGAACTTTCGGTTGTGGCAAAAATCGTGTTCGGCCGGACGCTATACGGTGTTACCATATCAAGAAAATTGCGTAAACTTTTTAAGTGACCTGGTAATGTATGTAGGTCGTAACTCCAGCCGAGTAACTGTTTTCATTAGAAACAATTGTCGTATAACTCCTAGAACAACAAAATGGCACAGTTAATTGTTAAGCAACTTTAAGTTTAGATATGGATTTAGAAAGGTTTGAGTTAAAAAAAACGAGCTGAAAAAGGGTTAATTAAAAAGGTAGGACATTTTGAAAAAAAAATATTTTTTAGTATTGCCTCATTTTTACGGCATTTTGTCCTAAAGTTGTAAGGACTTTCCTATTAGTCATGTTTAGAACAGAACTATTAATTCCAAGTAACTTTATGTAATTTTTCTAATGCTTAGTCTGTGAAAATCAACTTTTTCATAATTGTACGTAGAAAAAAGTAAATACGATTCAGTCAAGAGCCATTATCTCATACATACCTTAAATGAATTGAATGATTCTTTTTCTGTTTTTCTGCTGGGTGGCGCACAGTGTGGTAATTGAACTTTTTTCGTGACAATTTTTTTTTTATTTTTTTGGCCTAAAAAAAGTATGTAATGGAAACGCTTTGAATTTTTTTCGCTTGCTGTTATCGTTCTCGAGATATTAGAATTTTTCACGAAAAAACTTAAATTTCAACACTGTGTGGCGCCGGGGTTGTATTTTAAAAATATGTGGCCCACAGCGCCATCTATAAAGAAAATGAGTTCATTTTGTAGCAGGTACCCATCTGTCAAACGAACAATTTAATTCGACTGAGAATTATAGGAGAAAATGATTTCTTACTGAATGTGCTTTGTTTAGAATAAGGAACAATTTTATTCAATGTCATAACTTCATCCATTTTTCATTGATTTTCATATGTGGTACCTATATATATCTATGTAGGTAATGACTAAGACGAATACGTATGTATGTACATCTCTTAGGAAAATAATGCGAAAAAGTTATGTAGAAGATCGACCGAAGAATAAACTAACTCTTGCCAACAAATGCCACTTTGGTCTCGGCAAGCAATTAAAAAGCAGGGTCCCTCTCTCCTCGCCATTTAGTGTGAGCCAAAAACGTGGACGATGCGGAACAAAGGTTATTATGCTTTGGGGACTTACGGCAGAACCATTCTACGTAAGATATATGGTCCTTTTAGCATGGGTGAAGATTACCGAAGAAATGGAATGACGAACTGTACTGGCTTTAGAACTTTGCAAAAGGCAGAGGAAATTGGCGAAGTTTCTTAATCTCGGCCTAAACCGACTAACGGTTGTACCGGTAAGTAAGAAGAAGAAGGTTAGATGACGTGCTGAAGTTAAAAAGTCAAACAAATTGTTGAAAGTTTCTAATTTATTTCATAAAATTTAAGTACATATCGTTACCTTAATTCACAAAGGCCCAAACCAACACAATTTTCGAAACTGCGTAAAGTGACAGTTCTCTTGGAGAGAAGTTGCAAATTCTTGCTGGAAAATTTTTAGCCAGTAAGAATTTGCAATCACGAAGAACATATGATTGTGGCACATGGTTGCATTTTTATAAATGTATAAAGATGAGCGATTTTTTATGAAAAAAGGAAGAAAATACTTGTTGATATAATTAATTTAGGTAATGGTCCAATGATTTGAACTGTACTCCGCTGAAAAAAAAATTTATTCGCAATCGGAATGCAATTGCAACCAGAGTCCATTTAAGAAACCCTACAGCTAGTACCATAAAGAAATGGAAATGTATGTTAAAGAACGTCAGAAGAAATATACATGTCTATGCTGAAAGAATTTTAAAAATTCTATAAAAATTTATTATGTTTAAAATGTAACCGTGGACACCAGCTAGCAGTGAAACTTGCCAATTCCTGCAAATTTGCGTTCGTGCAGAAATTTGCAAGTTTCTCAACATGGAGAATGAATTTGGGAGAATTTTTTCTTACTCTCTGATATTTACTCTCTGCTAGATAATTCTTGCTGGATTTTCGACGAACAAACCTATTATTAACTAGAGTTAGAAAACCAATATCGGAGAGTAATGACAAATTTAAACATTATTCATACATATGTACATTAGGGTAGTCCAAAAACAGTAAAGTCGGAATTGTAATGCTCTCACCCCCTAGGATTGTTCTATATCGAAAAAAGTGTACCCCTATTTTTTTTCTTGGAAATCAAAAAATAGAGGTCACTCAAAGCGCTCAAAGTTGTCCATGTATTTTTATATTGGAAAAAACAACTTTTCGTAGCGATGGTATAGAATTCTTGAAAATCAATACTTTTCGATCGAAAACATGTTGACCAGTTTTTGCTATATTTCTTTTGTTTATTTAATATTTAATATTTTTTTTTATAAATGTCATGCTAATTATACATACACGTAACACCGTGCGACAAGCAATTTAACACATAAAAAAAATAAATATATTCGCGAAGCCATGGGCCATGCAGTAAAATTTCGTTTTTAGTTTTTCTCTCTGACGTCAGGATTTTTTAAAGGGACTTTTTAAAGGGACTTTGCCTGATTATCTAAAATATATCAGCAAGGAAAACAGGCATTGAGACCATAGTGCATTGGGGGTACGCTATGTCAGCAAAGGTGGTACGCTAGTAGAAAAATAAAAGGAAAGAATAAAACATTTTAATCTGAATTAATTTCGTCAAGTGCTTGGCCGAATTTCTCTTACAAATTGTGGTGTGATTCTTAATGGTATCAGAAAATTGGAGGTACGTACAGTGTTATGCCGTCTCCGATAGTCAGATTGTTTTTAAATATAAACTTTACCAGCCGAAATACGCTGGAAAGGGCGACAGTTATTAGCAAAATATTTTTTTTTTAAGTTAGTCGGACTATAAATAGAACCGGATCCAACTGAGTGGTAGGTCAAAATTACTTGCCAGATAATTGGTCAAAGCGCATCAATACAAGTTGGTGTTGATTGAACAGCTGTAGTGGATATTTTTGTCTCTACTATTTAGTACTGGAGAATGTCATCCAAGACGAAATGGCGCCACTTTAGGATGTCAACAAAACGAAATGACGAAAAATATTTGATATTCCCTTTCCTTTGTACATCCTGATGTACCAAAAAGCAATAACAAAATACACGGGACTTTTACTTATATGCAATTGCCACCACCATGTATGGATGCGCCTTGATAATTGGTTGGGAGACTTCAAAAAGGGGTCCAGTCAGTAGCCAGTTGCCATATGTAATGCCATGCATAATATGGTCATAAATTGGCTGAAAACTGTTATTCTGGTTCATTTGTGGCTCGAGTTCTAGGTAGAGTTAAAATTACCAACATTTACTCTTGAAATTCATTCGCATTCATACTGTCATTGACCCAATTGTAGGTCAATGGAAGTATTTTCCGTGAAAGGGAATAACATTAGCTTTCAAAACCATTTTGTTTCATACCAAAATATTGCATCTGTCGAAAGCGCTACGATTAATTCGCATTCGATGTTGCGGCGACATCAGAAGGCATCCCGTCGCTGTCCTGAGTGCCGTGTTTTGGCAGGTCTGCAGCTTCATCCACTGCGTCCTAATAGTCCCCGGCGACAAAACAGACGCAGCATAGTTTCACAAGAAGTCAAAGTGTAAGGGTGAAAGGACCCCACCTTATGAAACCTCTTATTTGATTCTTCTAGGGGTTGAGCTTTGATCTCGAAAGATTACTGACGATTGTGCAATGACAGACGCTGTCATACGCCTTTGATAAGTCCAACGCAACTAAGACTGTTCTCTCACAGGGGAGGTTGCGGTTTAGGCCACGAGTTATCTGGGTGTTTATGGCGTTAAGTGCTGTTGTTGTGCTTTGCACTTTACGGACACCATGCTGATGCTTCACTGGGGTCAGGTGGTGGATGAACTACGGGAGTAGCAGGGCCTCTAGTGTCTTCGCGACCGGGGAAAGGAGCGTTATCGGGCGATAAGAATCTCCTTTGTTAGCGGGTTTCTCAGGTTTAAGCAGTGGGACCGCTCTCCCCGGTTTCCACACATCAGGAATGATGAGAATGGCCATTGACAGGTTGAGGACCTTTGTGAGATATGCTATGTTTCAGCATAGGCATGCACATTTTGTCGGGTTCATTGGCTTTAAAGGCTTTCGCCTTCCCGATGGCCACATTGACTTCCCCGCTGGTGAAAGTAAGTGGTGCACGGTTTTTGGGCAGTTTGTGCAGCCTTCTGGTCAGTCGACTTTTGGCCTTATTCACCGAAGGATGTAATATGAACAGCCGGCTAAAATTGTATTTCTTCGGGTCCGGCGAGGTGTGACCATCGAATGAAATTTCCACCCTATCGTCGCGCCTCGTCGGCTTGGACAATGACCTCACGGTTGACCAGAGCTTACTCACACCAGAGGCGAAGTTGCAAGTCTTCAGATGCTCTTCGCACTTCTTCCTCTAATGTACGTTCACGAACTAATTGCCAAATCTCGCGAGATGAGATCCCTGATACGGGGATTCCCGGGATCGGCCTGATAAATGTTGTCACGCTCATCGGCAAGGACAGCTGCTTCAGCAGGAAAATTCGGACGGGGCAGCAGCAGCCCCAACCATGGGAATTTAAGCTCACCTACGTGAACGTCGGTTCGTGTGGGTAGGGCAGTGAAGGTGCTTTCAGTAACATCCGCGAAGCCTTTCCAGTCAGCTTTGGAGAAGTTGACATAAGTCCGGTGATCCGTGGAAGCAAAGTCGGCTGGTTTATCAATCGAGATAACTATGGGCAGATGGTCTGATTCTAAGTTCAGCATAGGTCGCTATGATATGCAGACCAGCGCTGACAATTTTAAAGTCTGGCAAGCTGCAGCAGCTGCCCATAATCCTGGTGGGTACGTCGTCGTTCGTTGTGCAGTATGTCTATCTGCTCAGCAAAGTGTGTTCCCCTACGATCATTCGACAGACTTGAATGCCAAAGATCGTGATGCGGGTTAAAATCACCAACTACCATTCGGTTTTCACCTCTGAGGGTATATATACGTTAAATATTTCGAGCTCGACATCACCTGATCGGATAGCAATACCCTGACATTCTACGATGGTATCCCTTCGGTCTGCTCATAGTCCCTCATCCAATCTCGCGTGGTGCGCAGTCCTGAACATGCCCTAAAGTGACACCAGCCAAGGCAAGTGTTGCACTTGACTGATGTTGCGTTACGGAATATCCTGGACTGACACACCGAGTAGATTGCCGGAGGAACCAAGAGTTGCAGGCGGCGGCGTGTGGGAGGTGGTGCGGTTGTGTGGACTGTTGTATCTGTGGTGTTGTCTATTGTATTGTGTCGTTATGCGGATGTATTTTCGTTGAGTTCAGGCGGACACTGGTTTGCCGTGGAGGCAGTTCGGTTTGAGCAGCAAGCGGCCACGTATGAGGTAAACCACTGCCCGTGAGTCGCAAGGCCTGAGCAAACTCGGAGGTGACTCCACCCATTACAGGCGTTGCACTTGACTGAGGTGGAGTTGTGGTGTAATCGTCTTCGGCATACACAGCAGGTGTAGGTTTCTGGCCCTGGGTTTGACTCGATGCCAGCCCTGAACAGAAGTATGCGAAGCGGATGTAGCCCTATGGACGTACAACTTTTGAGGGATTCCGCCGACCTAAACGGGGTTAGATCGCCGAAACAACAGCCCTTGGTCGGGTAAAACCCGAGTCATTCCGGTACGTAGAACCGACTTTCGTGGGTATCCTTGTTAGTTGTTCTTAACATGCAGTTATTTGGCCACAACGTTAGCTCTACCCTCGAATATGTAATGCTTCACTGGGAAGTTTTTTCTATTCAGAAATTCCTCAGCTTTAATTACAACAAACGGTCTTTATTTTTAATAGTTCATTTTTCTAGAAAGGTATTTTTATTTTATTTTATTTAATTTTCGTAAAATTTGGGTTATACGCATGAAACATTATGGATGAACGCTAAACGTACACATTTTACATATGTAAAACAATTTTTATAATTTGATTTTATTGTAATGATACCTTATGATAATGAAGTGTTTTCGCTCAATAGGTATTGCAAGATATTGCCATACCAAATTAAATTAACGGTAATTAGAAACTAACAAAAGTTGTGTAAAAAATTAAGTGAACAAAATTTGGACAGCGCAAAAATTATATAAACATATACACATGTGACATAATAAATTACAATAAACTGTGTATTAGGTAAAGAGTTCAAACAAAAAAAAAATGAACAATAAGATGTATAAATAGTAGCATACGTATGTACATATATGTACATATGTATTATGCAATTAAAATACTTAGATACGAAGGCAACAAAAAAAAATCAACGTACGATGTACCTTAATATCAGCTGTGCAGATTAAGATAGATGAAAATAGTTAATGGTAGTTGTAACAATACATGTATACCATACAGTACATTTCGTTTAATCTATGTATACACATATATAAAAACATATGTATGTCGCTAGCTTAGAGTGAAAAGTTGCTAACTTCACTTTTTAAGAAAAATCATATTTTGATAAGGGAGGCTAGATAAATTAAAAATGCATCGTTTCGAAAAGGGTAAAGGTCGGTCCTTGTTTTATGTTTTCTTGTTTATATTCAATGAAAGGAAAATTTGCCAAAAGTCCAAATGAAGCTCCGAAAATTCGATAAGGCCAAAAAAGTTCGAAAGCTTTTAATAAAGGTCGAATCCCTCTGATTTGTATGGAGTTTTGCTTTGCTTTAAACCGGCAAAATGTTGTATTCAGAGTTTTGCGAAATACTTGAAGAAAATGGATATAAGAAGTTTTTTCCTCACCTGGACAATTGTTAAATTTGGACTTAGCAACTTTGCACTCTAAGCTAGCGATGTATATGCGTTACATACAAATATTTATAAAACAGTCATTTAAAAACTGTAAACTTGTCTTACACGAAATGCGTACATATAAATTTATTACATACATACATATACTTTACTTATATATATATAAACTTATGTTCTACACATGCTTAGTGTCGTATGAAAATGTCACGATAATGATGATTTTTTTATGTCTGCGTTAGATGTACACTATGCGCATCCTGTATCAGTTGGGATAACTTTTGTGAAAATGTTGGAATGTCCTGTTGAAAATAAAAATATAAAAAAAAAGAATATGAATATGTTTAAATCCAATCTCGCATTTTAATATGGAATATCACTTACAGTTGATAAGCAGATCACGTCCAAATATTTCGGATTCACTGGAAATCCGGCCGTTACAAAACTTTCGCGTAACTTTAAATTATCAACTTGACCCATGGCGTAAAGTACGTTCGCCAATAGGTCGAAATGCAGTGAACCCTCGCCAGATAGTAATATGTTTATTAGTGCGCGCTGAAATGAGGTGAGTAGACTGTCTTGGAAGAGAGCGCGCTGAAATAGCCGCCAACGCTCATTAACAGTCTGCATCGATAGCAAAACCTTGCGTACGAGATTTGGATCATTGCCGGACACCAGCACTTGTCCGTATGCATTCAGAATGGCCATAAAATGCTCTGGATGCATATTATCACTACTGGTATGCAACAGCGAACCATTATACTGTACATGCGGTTTGTAGAAATATTGCCACTTATGAAGCAAAACACTGCACAACAAATACATAAAAATAGTAAAATGATATCATTGAAAATCATGAAATTTCACCTATCAAAGAGCACATAGACCATACTGCTTAAATCAGTGCCGTCAACCAAGCTGGAGTCATGTTGCTGTATTAAAGGCAGCACCTGGTCAATGGTGAAACTTAAAATGGAAGGCAGCATGGTGGTCCATGTGTTTCCCGGCTGCTGTACGATGATCTGGAACATCTGCAATATTTTCTCCAAAACTGCCAACTGATTAAAACTCAGTTGTTCTCTGCAAGAAAAGGGGCAGCAATACTTATTTGTACAGAGTTCATAGGCTGTTAACTGCACCACTAACCTGCTGCTGACTGTTATGTAGAGCGCGATCATGTCTTTGATAAATTGCGCACCAAATTGGTTTAACAAACTACGAAGTATACTTAAACTGAACTCGGCTGCAGAAATGGATATTACATTGTTGCTTATGCCGAAATTGTTGAAGAGCATTAATGCTTTCGTGATGATTGGCTAATATTGAAGAAAAAATTAAAAGCAATGAAATTTCAATACACTTTTTAGGTAGTTTTTGGTAGTGTGGTAGGTATGTTTAAGTGGGCTTAAAAAGCTGATCACACTCCCCAAGATAAGGTTAGCCATTTCTAATAGATTCTGGGTCGCTGAATTCAAATATGAACCGTGAAGATAATTTAGGCAGGCCTTCTTAAGTGAAGCCATTATCAAAGGCTTACCCAAGAAGGGCTAAACAAAGTGCTGCCCTACATGCCTTCTAGAAAGATTTTTCCTATTTACATTTGACGCGAATGTATAAGTTTATATTAATTAGCATTACAAATGAGTCTTGATATACTTTTTAAGTTGCAATAAAACATATTTGATATAAGCCTTAAGCAAATGCTTTTAAGATTTATGATTTTTATGAATTAAGGAAGCAGCTTTGAAAGAAATTCTCTAAAAGTCCTTCTAGAAGGACATCTATAGGTAGCGAAAGCAGAAATCTTTAAACGTGTGCCACTCCATAAAAAAAAAAAAAACGTTTAAAGGGAATCTCTTGGCTTATCATATGCCTTTAGGCTTGTTCGAGTATCCTTTTTTCACAGAGAAATTTGAATTGAGGCTATTTCACTATGTATTGTCCCCTTGCTTTTATGTATATACCTAGCCTTTGAAAAAATTCACCGTCGAGCACACTCAACGGCACGTGAAAGGACAAGATATTCTTTTAACTGATTTGTATCATTTAAAAAAAAAAACAGAACCATCGCAATGCTAACCTGGCAAATAAGTCACAAACGCATTTTTCGCCTGAGAAGTCTGAGAAGTCTCAAAAACCTGAAAAATGTCTAAGAAATTCACGAATAGTTCCCAGGAAAAATCGGAACGGTCCCTAAAAATATTGACAGAAAATATTATGAAAGGTCCAGAAAAAAATCTAAAATAAACTATAAAAAACCTGAAAAGTCCCAGAAAAAATCTAAAAAAAAAACTATAAAAAAAGCCTGAAAAGTCCCAGAAAAAATCTAAAAAAAAAACAATCATCCCAAAATCTCACACGGTCCTGAAAAAATTACTAGTGTTTAGGCGCGACTGCTAACACCGGGCGCCTAAGTTAGGGATATGTACTGCTGCATGTGCAAAAATTTCCTTTATGCAATTTTTTGCACATGCACTTCTCTACTGCCATGTAATTTAACTTTCTTAAGTTTAAAAAACATACTGGTCTCCCCTCTCACTGAGTGGAATCTACAGCGTGGCGACGAATAACTGTTACCCAGGTTTTTTTGGGAAGTAAAAGGGTCCTTTATAGATTTTGCGGAAAAAGTATTTTATTGTTAATTTTCCACAGATTTTACTTTAGTTGTATTAATTAGTTTTCAAATTTTAATTCTTATTTACATTTGCCAGCAGTGTAAACTTTGAGAGAAAAGTTCATTTGGCACGCAGGTCCTCGTCAGTTAATTTATTCCATATCTTCTGTAACTATAGGCTAATTTTCTCCATTTAGAGTCGCTTATACTCCCCCTTTTATCCAACATAAGACCTCATACTCAAAAATCGAATAGACTCAGAACTGGTGACTAGGACGGCCATTCATTCGACCAACCTTACACAGTATTTTTTTCTTTTTTCTATTTTTTTATACAAAGCCTAAGAAAAAATACACCTGAAAAAGACTTGCGTGCCAAATGAACTTTTCTCTGATAGTTTAAACTGCTGGCAATCGTAAATAGGAATTAAAATTTAATAACTAATTAATACAACTACTGTAAACTCTGTGGAAAATTAACAATAAAATACTTTTTTCGCAAAATATATAAAGGACCCTTTTATTTCTCAAAAAGACCGGGGTAACAGTTATTCGTCGCCACGCTGTAGATAGAAAAAAGTTTCAAAATTACAAATCAAAGGAATTTGCATGATTTGAAACATGCTTATGCAAACAAATGGCAAAATATATAAAATGAACAAATTACTAAATAATGTACCTATTAATTACACTGTAAAATACATATACTGGTGGAAAAATAAGGCACTCCGCGCCAGTGATCGGACTTCAAAAAAATTCTGTGGTAGAATCTGGAAAAAGATGTGGTGGATTTCAAAAGAATGTGGTAGATCTCAGGTTTTAGATCAAAATTTGTGCGAAAATTAAAAAAATTCTGCAAGGTTTCACCTAAATTGCAAACTTTTTATTTTGACTCAAAAAAAAATCATTTTAGTATAATAAAGTGAAAGACTGAAGTTGCTAAAAATTGCGTTGTATTTTGGCAGTTTTTTCCTTATCAAGATATCTGTGGAACATATTTTAAGAGATTTCTGCAACCTTGCAGAGTGCTGCCAGCTTTTCTTTTTATCACATCGCGATGTAGCGAAAAAATGTGGCACGTTGCAGAAACCGCTAATTGGGATTTACCGATTTTGACAATTCTCATGTAAAAGTAAAGAGCGCCTCAGAAACTTTAGATGCACTTAAATTTGCTAATACTTTCACAAAAATCGCCGTTTTTAACATTTTCGCTATTAATTATTTTTGCAAATCATATATTTTGCATTTTAAAATTTGATTATTGAGAAAATTTACTAATTTACAGTTTATTTTATCCTCCCATTCGGCTTTGTTTACTTTTACTTCAGCAATTTCATCGCCGCCGGGAATACGGAATCTTAGATTATATCATTCTTGTTACCATATAGTGTTTAGTATTGGACAATTTCTGCTCTGAAAATTAAGGAAATTATGTCGAGCAAAAATCGCGAATATGTGGTAGATTTCAAACCTTGAGTAGATGCTCAAAAAAGTGGCAGATCTACCACAATGTGGTAGAAGTCCGATCACTGCTCCGCACATTACGCGCTTAATCATAGTAGTGCAATCGTTGCAGCATACTAAAGTACGAAGCTTTTATGACCAATACATGTATTTCAATGAAGCTCTGTATATTACGATTCTTAATCACGTTTTCGCCTAATCATAAAAGTTTCATGAATTCTTTCTTTTTTATTTAATTTTTATTTTTTTTAAATCTATATTTTCGTTAGTTTAGATTTTATTCTTTTAAATAGAAATATATACTTTCTTAATTAATTTTTATGATATTGAAGTAATTAGGTTTCTGCCCTTATAAATTGTTGTTGAACTATTACTTCCTCGCTTTATAAAAAATAATGAATATTCATTAAATAACGTCTAGCGGATGAATGTATGTACATATGTATCTACATACTAGGAATGTTAATCCCGGCCTTTTTAAGGTCCCAAAAATCCCGGGACTCTTGGCA